CAGTGACTGAGAGTCAGGAGTCAGGCTTACCTGGCTCCTTTTGGCGGGTTAGCAGGCCGTAGCAGGGAGGGGACGCCATGTTGACACAGGGTTACTGTGGAAAAGACACATCATGAATGGAGCGCCATGGTGGGGATTACCTATCCAAACACCAACACTGAGGGGCTTCTCTCTGGCAGCAACATCTATTCAGAGGGTTCATGAGGGACCCAGGAAGGAGGAAATAGTGGAACAGAAGGGGATAAAGGTGTCAATATCAAGGCTCCTTCTAAATGCCAGACCCTGGTGGAAAGCTAGACAGGAATCCTCACCGAAGGCTGGTTCAAACACCAGGTCCACGTTTTTCGGAAGTGTTCTTATTATAGCACTTTTTAGGAATATTCAGTGAATGCAATGAACGCCTCTGAGCCTCAGTATTTCTAAAATGAAAATCGTATGTCTCTGCACAGATGAATGAAGACAGAGGAAGTCCTAGGAATGGGGCCTGGCCCATAGGAGGCGTTGAATGAATGGTGACAGACATTAGTGTTCTTGTTGCTGTTGTTAAATAGACCGTGTTGTTAGTCTTGTAGGTGGCTGTCAGACAGACCCGAGCAGAGCAAGGACGAAGGGCCAGGTGCAGAAGGTCACCAGGGCGGAAAGGCCCAGTCCTAGCAATGGACATGTGTAGGGTAGGACCTCATCCTCGGAATGACCTTTCCTCCCCTCGCATACCCTGGTCATTCTCATTGAGAGCCCCTGACCTTTCCTCCCTGGAGAGAGCATCTAGGCTTCAATTGTATTTCATTCAGCTGCAGGCCCAGAAAAGCAGCAAAACCCGGCAAGCAGCACCATGGCTGACCTCGGGACCAGCCGCACTGAATAATAACCCCCCTGCCCTGACCCTGATCAATCAATCAGTGAAGACCACAACCCTGAAAGGACACACCTGGAAAGCTGCGGAATATTCTATTGAGATCTGCCCCTGGGATCACCCCTAAAAACTCCACCCCTAAAACCCTTATGACTGAGGGAGCAAGCCTGGGTCTTTCCCTTCCTCTTCTGTTCCCCATCCCTCCAGATGCATCACCTTGACCTTCCTCCCTTCAAAGCTCAAGGGCCTTTCCTTTGCCTCCATCTACTGTTTCCTAAGCCCGTTTCTCTAGAAACTAATTACTGCTACCTCTGTGCTTTCGTAAATAAATGTTATCTTACAGGTTGAGTCTCGGCCCTGCACATAAGACGTTGCCTCATCCAAAATGGACTTCTGCAACTTAGATCACGTACCTTGTGTCTTTTCTTTTGGGGGGCGTTATTGAAACCTGTTTGTTCCCTCTGTCCAGGCGATTACTATATCATATACCCAACATGCCCTCTATTTTAACTCAAAACACGTCTTCCAAATTTCATTATATTCTCAGACAACCATTTCATGTGATATGGTAAAAAACTATTATGTCCATGGGTTATAATTTATGTTATACTTTTTTTAAAGTATGTTTTTGTTTATTTCAGAGAAGGAGATAGAAACATCGATGATGAGAGAGAATCACTGATTGGCTGCCTCCTGCACGCCCCCTACTAGGGATCAAGCCTGCAACCCGGGCATGTGCCCTGACCAGGAATTGAACTGGTGACCGCTTGGGTCCTGGGTGGACGCTCAACCGCTGAGCCACACCTGGCCGGGTGTGGTTTTTTTTAAATCCAGAGAATCAACAAGTGGGTCTGCTCCTAGTCATTGGCCCTAGTCTCACTCCGAGCTGCCCTCCAACCATTCTGAACAGAGTTTTCTGTGAGCTGGCCTCCCCCTGCTCGGTCAGAGGGTGGTGACCATCTACAAAAGTAATACCCACTGTTTATTTTCAGTAAAAATCCCCTACTTGGTTCTGCAATCTCCAGAACCAAGTAGGGGACTTTTACTGAAAATAAAAAGTTAACATGTAATTCCCTTTGTAATACTTTAAGCAATAAAACAATAAAAACAAAACATGTAATTGCCTGGTACACAGAGAATGCGGAAGAGAAATGAAACTACTGTGTATATTCCGAGCAGGGGCAGAGGAGTCACTGGGAATCTGAAGCTTCATCCAGGAACCTACAGGCCAGAGGAGCAGGCAGGTTCTTGAGAAAGATAATTTTCCTTCCTGGAACCACACCCACCTCCTCAAGGATTCTGTAGCTTTTGGCAGGACTATTTCCAGGCCTTTCTGTGCTCATCACAATCACCATTTCAACATCACACCTGGCCCTAGCCAGTTTTGCTCAACGGACAGAGCGTTGGCCTTGCGGGCTGAAGGGTCCCGGGTTCGATTCCGGTCAAGGGCACATGCCTGGGTTGCGGGCTCGATCCCCAGTAGGGGGCGTGCAGGAGGCAGCCAATCAATGATTCTCCCTCATCACTGATGTTTCTTATCTCTCTCACCCTCCCTTCCTCTCTGAGATCAATAAAAGTATATTAAAACAAACCAACACCACACCCTACTCCAAGCGAGAGCAATGGCCGTGTTGCTCACCCAGCTGACTGCAATGGTTTCTGATACACCATGCCCCCATACCTACAAATCAGTGCCAGTATGGCAGGCTGTTTTTATTTTGAGGGATTGAGTAAAAACAGATGGTGGCAAAAAGGCTCACACTGGCTAAACCACAGAGGTGGTTGTGGCGATGGGGAGAGGCACGCAGACTCAGTGAAAGGGGCCCTTTCTTGAGTACCACAGGCTGGGGCTGGGCTAGGAAAGAGTTTCTAGTGACCCCAGCAGGGAGCTTACCACCTGAGAAGGACAAGGATACAGGGGCACAACAGCTGGAGAAACCTGAGGGCGACCCAACCTGTAAGGGTAGGCGGTACTCACCAAGGGCAGCTTTCCAGTGAAAAGACAGAGGGAGCAGTGGCTGAGTGTCTCCTGCGAAGATACAGGCTTGTCTGCCACCCAAGTAGTCATGCCTGCCTTGGGTTAGGGTGGGGGTAATCTCCAAAAAGACTACCATCTTTGGGCTGAACAGTTTCTTCTTTTCTTCAGGGCTGATATATTAACTGCAAATACTTCATAATATCTCTTTGCATTCCTTTCTCAAACCCCAATCTTTCAGTAAAGAAACTATAGTTGACCCCTGAATAGAGACCGGGAGTGGCCCTGCCTGGTTTGGCTTAGTGGACACAGCATCAGCCTGAGGTCAGGTTACCTGTCCGGGTTGCAGGCTCGAGCCCCAGTAGGGGGCGTGCAGGAGGCAGCCAATCAATGACTCTCATTATTGATGTTTCTTTCTCTCTCTCCCCCTTTCCCTTCTTCTCTGAAATCAATATATATATATATATAATAAAAAGAAACCGGGAGTTATTTAAACTTTAAATTTTCAGTCCAGGGAATCATAGAAGGTATCTGAGCTGGCCCCTTGAATTTCTACAGTGTGTCCCAAAATTCATGCAAGATTTGCAATTGAATTGAATTGCAAATCTTGCGTGAATTTTGGATATATATATGCAGCGGTTCTCAACCTGTGGGTTGTGACCCCTTTGGCGGTCGAACGACCCTTTCACAGGGGTCGCCTCAGACCATCCTGCATATCAGGTATTTACATGACGATTCATCACAGTAGCAGCATCACAGTGATGAAGTAGCAACGCAAATAATTTCATGGTTGGGTCACAACCTGAGGAGCTGTATTTAAAGGGCCAGAAGGTTGAGAACCACTGGTAGGGGCTACAGTACGGTTTGGATGGGGCGGCAGGGGGGAGGTTTGAAGCTCCATTTCCACACGTAAATTTACATCAAATGGAGGAGCTACGAATTGTCCGCATGAAGGGGAGGGAGAGGGAGAGGGAGGCGAAGTGAAAGAGAAAGTAGAGAGGGGGGCGTTGGGATGATTAGGAGATGACAATTCCCACTTCCAGCCCCACAAGATGCCCCTAACCTGCCACCTGCCCCCCCTTTT